TCTCGGCCAGTGGCCAAGTAAACAGGGTGACACGAAAATAGGAAGTTTATCTACAATGGACTCTTTTGCTGACAGTCCTAAAATCACCATGGTGTAGAAGGCTTTTCTGTGGAGAAAGGGGGTGCCACTTCACTAGGGCCTCACTAAGTTGCTGAGGCTGGCTTTGAAACTGTGATCCTCCTGCCTCAGCCTCCCAAGACACTGGGATTATAGGCGTGTACCACCATGCCCAGCTGGACTGTTAACTCCARATAATCCACAGCACCACATCTTCTAATGGACTTCCCTCCCATCTACAGCCAATGTGGGTTCAATGAAACAGTTTATGATTTCTCCCCCAAATATTCATTATAAAAATGTTTTTCCACCTGCTTTCTGACCTTAACGCTAGTGATTTCTGAACCTTCCCAGGACCTGGGCCTTCCCTAACTAGCATCTATATAACTCCTTTTATTTCAGATACCCCTCAGTCTTAACAGTTTTTTAATTAACACTGCCATAATTAATTTTAGAATAAAAATGAATTTTCTTGTTGGAAAAACAATACATATTATTGAAAAACCTGAAAACTACACATGATCAGAAAAAGAAATTTTTTTGGCACTTATTTTTTTAAATTTGTTTTAATTAATTACACATGACAGTACATGATCTTGACATATCATACAGTTGATTAAGATGGGGTATAATTTTTCATTAGAAAGGAAATTACAGCCCAGTGGTGACCCACATCTGTAATCCCTGTGACTGGAGGCTGAGGAAGGAGGATTGTAAGTTTGACGCCAACCAGAGCAACTTAGGTAGATTCTGTTTCAAAATTTAAAAAGGGCTGGTAGTGTTGCTCAGTGATAGAGCACCCCTGGGTTAAATCCCTAGGATCACAAAAACAAACAAACAAACAAAAAATCTTATCAACTAGACCATCCAGAGGTAGAGATCACAACCATTAATTATTAATAAATTAGAAGGTATTTTATATTTGTATCTATGCATGTAGACACACACGTACACACACACACCTTTAACAGGCTCAATTTTAGAACTTGTTTTTCTGCAAACATCTCACTACTGTTAAAAATTACAGGATAGGGCGCTCGCCTGGCATGTGTGCGGCCCAGGTTAGATTCTCAGCACCACATACAAACAAATAAATAAAAAAAAAAATTACAGGAAGCCGTGAACAGTGGCACACCCCTGTAATCCCAGCTGCTCGGGAGACTGAGGCAGGAGGATCAAGAGTTCAAAGCCAGCCTCAGCAAAAGCAAGGCACTAAGCAACTCAGTGAGACCCTGTCTCTAAATAAAATACAAAATAAGGCTRGGGATGTGGCTCAGTGGTGGAGTGCCCTGAGTTTAATCCCCAGTACCAAAAAAAAAAAAAAAAAATTACAGGAGGCCATTGTTGCACTGGACCTGATCAGACCAGACAAGAATAAAACTCTATTAGAGTCACCCATGCCAAAGTTTCAGTCACCAAACTGAAACTAAGTTGTTTATCTGACCTTCTCAGAAATCAAGAGAAGTGAGAGAAAATAGCCAGATTGCCAAACAGGCCAGTTTTAGTTGGCATGATAATAAAGTTCCTTCTGAATTATTCCTTACACACAAAAAAGTAACCTGAGTTATTTTTCTGTCTCCTTGTCTCCACCGGACAGGAAGAGTCACTTTGAAATGACAGATAGGCTTTTTAAATTTTTTAAAAATTTTTCTGCTTTCTTCAGCTTTTCCCTGTCTACAAAACCCACTTGCTCTGCTTGGCTCATTGGAACACTTACTCTGTTTTATGGAACTATTCTATTAATAATAATAATAATAATAATAATAATAAGAAGAAGAAGAAGAAGAAGAAGAAGAAGAAGAAGAAGAGGAAGAAGAAGAAGAAGCAGCAGCAGCAGCAGCACCACCACCACCACCACCCGCCGCCGCCAATCAGGGTCTTTAAATTTGTTGTAACAGTGTCTTGGGACATTGCACAGCTTTTAATGACTGCAGATCACCTGCGTGTGGCTTGTGTTTTTTGGAAGCTGTTCCTATGCTGATGAAGGGCCCAGGCTTTGGTGGCATCAGGGCACCCTGCCCCGCCCCCGTCCAGTCCAGGAAGTTCTGGGGTCGGATATCCCGGGAACGGAACGTGCGGAGCAGAACCAGGCACCGCMGACCCCTTGCCTTGCGGGCTTTCGGGAGAAAACGCGCGTGGAAGCTCGCGGCTCAGTTCCCCGCACGGAGCGCGCTTGGCCCCCGCCAGCGGTGTGTGCGCCGGGCTGCGCTGGCCGTGAACTCTGTCCTCTGTCCACGCTGGACTAACCCTAAATGTGATTATTAATATAAACAGTTGTCCGCCCCCGCGACACGCCCCCGATTTACTGAAAAACGTCTGGTTTTCCACCCGGACGGTGCGCCACAGCCAGCAGAGGGCGGGGGCGCGGCGGGTCGCTCCCTCCCCGCGGGGCGTCCCCGTGGATCCCCGCCCGCCGCTCCGCCTCCGCTCACCGCCGCCCGCGTCACCTGGCGGCCCTGGGCCCAAGGCGGGCGGCGGGGACCTGGGCCCGGGCCGGGCGGCCGAGATGTCCGCGCCCGGCCGGTGGGCGCCCCTGCTCCTGGGCCTGCTGCTGGCCGCTCCAGGTAAGGGCGCGGGCGGCGGGGAGGGCGGGCGGCGGGTGTCCACGGCCCGGCCGCGGCTCGAGGGAGGGCCAGTGGTTACAGCCGCCGCTGCCAAACCGGCTGGGGACCGGCCCTGCCCGCCCGCCCGCCGCGGGTTCGCGGCTTCCCGGGAATAAGCAGCCCAGGATCTTGGAAATGGCCCTGGAAGTGCCCTACCGGGGAGAAATGAGTTTCCCAATCCCAGCCCAGCTCCAGGTGAACTGGGAAGGAGACACAGTGGCCGCTGAAAAGGCATTTATTGCATTTTTCAAGTTTCCTAACGCGCTGTTCCCCTGCGCTCAGGCCACTTTTGACCCACTTTTGAGCGGCTGCGGCACAGAGGTAGCCGTCTCTGCCCCTCCTTTGTGGGTGTCACGCCCCCCCCTCCCCCGCTAGGAGGATGGAGCTCTGGCAGAGCCTGGGCCCTGCTGTGTGTCACCACCAGCTCCCCCATTGGTAATTAAGGTGGCAGGGTACAAAATACCGAGGACTGGGACCCAGCCACCACTCCAACCAATCTAGGGAGGAGAAGGGCCAGAAATTTCTCCCCCACCCCCATGTCTTTCTAGTTTTAGACTCACAATGAAAAGAGCTGGAAAGGTCCTTGAACACAATCAATTACAAAAGCCAACCTATTTCGAGCAATGTCTTTGTGCTGGACACTACATTATCTTATTTAAAAAGCATTTCAACCCATGAGCTGGATATTCTTCTTTTTCATACGGGGAAACTGAGGCTTAGACCAGTGAAGGGAATCTCCCAGGAAGGACAGCAGAGGGGAGGCACGCTGAACTGGGACTCCCGTGGGCAACTGGCACAGGGTGGTGCGTCCACTAGGTCACCTCCCAACTCTGCRGCAGTGTTTTTCCAGCTAAGGAGGGACAGTAAGTGGGTTGTGTAATCTTAGATTATTTAATATTTGTCTCTGAGCCTAGTGCCCATTCCAGAAGGGGAATGGATGACACCTACCTTTAGGGTGGTTTGTCATCTGAGGTGTTGCATATGAAGTGCCAAACCAGGGCCTGGAGCCCTTGAAGTCTCAGTCCCATGTGGCTCCTTTAGCTATGAGTTTTCCACCGTGGATGAGCTCAGCCTTTGGACCTGACCTGTCCACAAGTGACTTTATGAGTGACTTGCAGACAGACTGKCCTCCTGCTGGGCACCTGCCAGGCAGTGCTAGAGCTTTGCATAATGGTAGCACCAGTCTAACTATAATCCAGGTCCAGCTAGAGGACACAGGACGGGGTGGAAGCAGGCATCCACATTTGGATCAAAATGTCAGGGGAAGGCAGCCCGGGCTGGGAAGCTGAGTGAGCACCGTCAGGAAAATTGGGCCTTCCCTCCATGAATACCTAGAGGAGGAAGTAAGGTCAAGAGCTTAGAYCTTGGAGTTGGCTAGGCCCGGATCTGAATCCCGATTCCACAACTCATTACCTGAGAGGGCCTTGGTGGTCCCACTTGTGATGTGAGGATCATGATTAGTACCTGCTCCCAAGGGTGTGGCAAAAGAAAATTTAGTTGAAGTGTTTAGCACAGTCTGTCTCGAAATGAAAATACAGTGCGGGTCAGCCGCTATTATTATCTTCATCATCCTCATCGTCAAAACCACTGCCTCTTGGAGATGTCAAGGGAAATCAGGGGACAGTAAACCTAGGGGAGGAAACAGGATCACKGATTTGTGACTTGTACATCCTGAGCAGGGAGGGCTTACAACCAGGGGTACCCCCCCCGCAGGAAACTAGACATGTTAATCACATGATGATAACAAATTTCCTACACAGGTCAGCTTTAATTAGCATCCTGGTCACATTGCCTCTGCGTTAATTTGAATCAAGTCTTTCAAAGGTTAGACGGTGAGCATTAGGCAAGTCTAGGCACCTGGGTCCAAAGACATCTAAAAGAAGGTGGTGGTTTGGAGACAGCAGGAAGGAAGATTTGCCACAGCCTGGTGAGCTTGTGTTGGAGGGGTGTCAGGGAGACATTTGCTGAATGGCCAAGCCAGGCCACACTGGGCAGGGCCTCATATACCTCGATAAGGAACGTGGACTTTATTCCCAGGGTAAAAGAAACTCATGAAACTGGAGAGTGGTATCATCAGGCGTGTATTTCAGAAGAGAAAGRTCAGCAGTGAGGAGGAGGCTGAGGAGGAGGAGGAGTAGAGGCCAGTTAAAGGTGGCCAGAGAACTTGTCACTGAACTTGTCACTGACTGAGATAGGAACACKAAAGAGTGTGACAAAAGCCGGGTAAACGTTTGGGGGAGGATCATCCATCCAGGCAGAGGGAACAGCACATGGAAAGGCCCAGAAGGGGATCCCAGAGGAGGAGCAAGGGGGGAGGGGCAGGTCAGGTTGGGTAGTGCCCCCAAGGTAACAGTGCAAACTTGGGAGTTTATCTGGAGTGAAATGCATGGAAGTCTCGAGATGGTTTAAGCAGAAGAGGGACATGGCCAGACCTTTTCTTTTCTTTATTTCATTCTTTTTTTCTCCCCATGGTGCTGGTAATCAAACCCAGGGCTTGAACAAGCAGTGCCCCTGGCTTTGATTTTTATTTGAACCCTTGCTGCTATACAGAGGGACAAGGTGTTTTGAGAGCCCCCAGATAAGTTGGGGTTCTACCATGAGAGCACTAGCAGCCCTGTCCTCACAGGAAATGCAGGGCATCTGGTCATGGATGCTGCTCATGTGCTTTTTTTTTTTTTTTTTTTTTGGTACCCAGATTGAACCCAGGGGCACTTAATCACTGAGCCATATCCCCAGCCCCTTTTATATTTTATGTAAAGACAGGGTTTCACTGAGTTGCTTAGGGCCTCGCTGAGGCTGGCTTTGAACTCACCATCCTCCTGCCTCCGCCTCCTGAGCTGCTGGGATTACAAGCTAGTTAGTGAATGCTTTTCATGAGAGACTTCTTGTGCCTGTCCACAGTCTGAGGCCTGCTTGTCCAGCCCATGACCAGGGGTCCCTCATATGTGTTTATACTGGAAGATGTCCTGTGGATCTTGCCTGAGCCAAGTTCATCTTGTGCCTTCCTGATGGTTCCCTGGCTCTGGAAGCCCCACTTGGTTTTTCAGATGAAGGCACAAGCCAACCCGCTGCCACAGTAGGAAATAAGATCAAAGATTCATTACTTTCATATCCTGGTGCAGTGCATAGGGAGGGCAGTCCTCCGTCCCCAGGGGACGAGAGGCAGGATGCAGAATCAGGCAGAGAGAGGCAACTGGCGGTGTGTCTAGGGGGGACCATGTTGGGTCCATGGCAAATGGTGCAGTTAAAGGAATCGCAGGCCAGTGGAAGTGGGGACCCGGTCTGCTAGGAGGAAAGGTCCTCTAAGTTCTTTCCCTGCCCCCCCCCCAGCATAGGCCATTTGGGTGTGTGGCTCTGCTTCTAAGGCCTGGGCAGTGCCCTTTGCCGTTTCATTCCAGTTGCATGGATGGGATGACTCGGGTCATCATCATATCCATCCACTCAGCGAGTCCTCATCCCGCACCTGCCGAGGGCCGGACCACCCCAGGCAGGCCCCAGGGACTGTGAGAACAAGAGCCCCTGCTCCTGGAGCTCCGGGGGATGCTCTCTCCAGAGCCCAGTTCCCGTTCCATGGAGCTCCGGGACACTTGGGTGCCAGAGTAGACAGAAGCCTCCTTTCGTGGTACAGATGGGACGCTGAGGCCCRGGGGGTGTGGGCGGTGGCTTTTGGTTCCTCAAACTTGGTGAGCAGCTGACCACCTGTGGTGGCACTCTTCGGCCCTAAATGGCCGGTGTCCAGACCAGCCCAGAGCTCCAGGACTCGTGACCTCTTGTCTCCACAGGGAGCTCCCGTCTAGCCCCTCCTCGGAACGTGACGCTGCTCTCCCAGAACTTCAGCGTGTACCTGACGTGGCTCCCTGGGCTTGGCAGCCCCCAGAACGTGACCTATTTTGTGGCCTATCAAAGGTGAAGTGAATCTCCGGGCTGCTGGGTGGGAGACCAAGGAGGTGGGTAGGGGCCAGAGGGACTTCCCTGGGGGTATCTGCTTGGGGTGTGGCTGATATTCGGTGGTTCTCTGGATCCCCTGGGAGATAGCACRTGGCACATGTTTGGGGAGGGGCTCTTGGTAAGGTCGCTGGTAGGAATGATGTTGAATAAACTGCGTGCAGGTGACAGGCCCATGGGATGGTGGCAGGTCTTGAGAAATGTTGGAGCAAGCCTTGGGTGGAGCTGGGAGGGCATGGGACAAGGCGCTTCTGTACCCCTGGATGAGGTGCTTGGAGTTGTTCCAGCTGGTTAGTGAGGGCAAACATAAGGCCCAGGGACGAGACTCCCTCCTGTAGCCTGCAAAATGCAGCATTGTTAGGAATCAGTTTCCCCTGGTGCTGGACAGGGCCTGGAGTGCTTCTCAATTTGGAAGCCCWGGCAGTCACTACCAACCCAGAAGAGCAGATGTGCCACCTTTGAACGTAGATATAAATTATATGGAGTTTTTTGTTTGTTTGTTTGAAGGGCTGGGGGTTGAACTCTGGCCTCATGCATGCTGCTAGGCAAAGACCTGTCACTGAGCTATGACCCCAGCACTTTTCAGTTTTTATTCTGAAAAGGGGTCTCTTTAAGTTGCCCAGGCTGGCTTTGAACTTGCAGTCCTCCTGCCTCAGCCTCCTTAGTCGCTGGAATTACAGGCATGTGCCACGGTGCCCTGCTTCTATAGAGTTGGTTTTTTTGTTGTTGTTGTTTGTTTGGTTTTTTTTTTTTTTTTTGTACTGGGATTGAACCCAGAGGTGCTTAACCACTTGAGCCACATCCCTAGTTCTTTTTATATGTTAATTTAGAGACGGTCTCGCTAAGTTGCTTAGGGCCTCAGTAAGTTGCTGAGGCTGGCTTTGAACTTGTGATCCTGCTGCCTCAGCCTCCTGAGCCACTGGAATTACAGGCGTGCGCCACCGCACCTCACCATGCCCGGCCTCTAGAGCTTTTAGTAGGACAGTGAGATGATAGAAGCGGATATGTGGGAAGATTAATCTGGAACTGGTGGTGATGGGGTGAAGCAGGAAGGAGAAGGAGCTATACATCCTCAGGCCCCAACCTGGGCTGGTGCTACAGGCGTTCGGGGGAATCTTTCTCTCCCAGGACCCTCAGGCAGCACTGTGTCCCCTCAATTTAGAGGTAATAAGATCCATCACAGAGAAGTGCTTTCCCTGGCTAGTGATGGAGCCAGAGGAGGAACCCAACCCATCTGACCACAAAATATGCGCCCTTCCTGTTCTATCATGATCCCTGCCTCTGCAGAATCCAAATATGAAGGACAGGACCCTGGCTTGGGCATGCACAGGCTGCAGGAGAGCTGGCAAAAGCAAGAACCCGCCAGGAGGCRGGAAGCTCTTCCTTCCTGTGCTGCGCGGCAGACAGCGTGTCAGCACCTCACTAATTTTTTTTTTTCATTTCTTGTTTTATTTTTTTTTTCCTGGTACCAGGGATGGAACTCAGGACCTTGTGCATACTAAGCAAGTGATCTACCTCTGAGCTGCACCCCCAGCCCTGTGTCAGTACATTAAATGTATTTAATTTCACAGTAGCACCTGGGAGGACCGGTCCCATTCCCCACTTTACAGAGGAGGAGACTGGGGTGCTGCTGCAGGTGTGTCTCGCTCAAAATCACGCAGTGGGATGCAGTGTATTCTAGTGGGTTCCATCTAGAATAACTTTATTAAGGACTTGCAAGCCTCTCCTCTGGACTTTTGCAATATTTTCCTCCTTTTTTTTATACTTTTCTAAATACCTGTGAGGATTGCAAAATGCTTATACTCTAATTGTTGTTTTTCCCATTTGATAATTGGAATTATTTTATAAAAAGCTATTTCCCCTCATTTAGTATTTGAAACACAGGTTTTCAAATAGGCAAGACAGAATAATTGGTTTCCTATCTTTCCCCAAAGGTGACTATAATTAACTTCTTTTACAAGTTTTATGAACTTCTTTTATTGTTGTTGTTGTTGAGCATATCTAACAGTGTCAGTTTATTTATTGTATTTATTTATTTGGTACCAGGGATTGAACCCAGGGGGAATTGAACCACTGAGCCACATGCCCACATCCCTTTATTATTTTTTATGTTGAGACAGGGTCTTGTTAAGTTGCATAGGTCCTCACTATGCAAGCCAGCTGGGGCTGGCTTTGAACTCATGATCTCCTGCCCAAGTTGCTGGGATGACAGGTGTGCACCACCATGCCCAGCTGATAATGTCAATTCAATTGTAATTTATTCTCTACTTTGAACCTTGAATTGTCCCATCTTTGGCCAGTGCATTTCTTCGAGGTGATTTCTGAGTCTTTTTAATTGAGTCATTTTAACTTGACTCTGGTAATCTTCCATATCTTTCTCACTGTTTGTTATGACAAGGTGTCCCAGGTTCATCTTGTGAGGTTCCTGACCTAAGATCTGCAGTGAGCCACTTCTCCATTTAATAGGAAAAGATTTTAAAGATCATAKCTTGGGGCTGGGGTTGTGGTTCAGTGGTGGAGCACTTACTTAGCATGTGTGAGGCACTGGGTTCAATTCTCAATGCTGCATATAAATTAATTAATTAATTATTAATTAAAGATCCATCAACAACCAATAAAAATGTTTTTAAAAACGATCATAGTCTGGGCTGGGAATGTGGCTCAAGCGGTATCGCGCTCGCCTGGCATGCGCGGGGCGCTGGGTTCGATTCTCAGCACCACATACAAATAAAATAAAGATGTTGTGTCCATCGAAAACTAAAAAATAAATATTAGAAAATTCTCTCTCTCTCTCTTTAAAAAAATTTTTAAAAAAGATTACATAGTCTGTGTGCTGGCTATGTGATCTCTAGGTAGCTATGACTTTTAATCTTTTCAGGAACAGTGATATACATCCTAGAGACACATTTGCCTCCCCTCTCCCTCTCTTTCTGCGCTGGAGATTGAACCCAGCAGGGCTCTACCACAGAGCTACATCCCCAGCATGGCATACAGCAGGTGGCTCATAAGTGCCTAAATAAATAAACATATGGAAAACATTGACCAGTACTGGCCCTAGCTGCGGCTACAACAGCYCTGTGAGAGAATCGWGGCAGATGAGGCRACTGAGGCTTAGGGTCAGTGACCTGCAGAAGGTCCCAGAGCTAGGGCGAGGCAGGGCGAGGGTTCCAGCCACTCCCCTCTGCGCTCGCAAGCTGCCCTTTCTTCCCCTGTCTCAGCCAGGGGCTGCCTGGCTGGACGAGGGCTGGTGGGTCATCTGGCSGATGGGTGGATGAGCAAGCTCGTGTTCTCTAAATTCCCTAACCAGAGGCTGAGTCCGCTCTCACCTGCTCCTGTCTCCCCCTCAGCTCTCCCATCCCCAGGAAGTGGCAAAAAGTAAAAAAGTGTGCAGGAACCCGGGCACTGGTGTGTCCCCTCATGTGCCTGAAGAAACAGGACCTGTACAACAAGTTCAAGGCTCGTGTGCAGGCGGCTTCTGCCCGTGTCCGGTCCCCTTGGGTGGAGTCTGAGTCCCTGGATTACCTTTCTGAAGGTAGGTCTGCAGGGGAGGGATGTGGGGACTTCACTCAGTGGCACAYAGAATCTATGCAGGGACGGGAGAGATTGACTCCAGGTGGCTCCTGCCATCGCAGAGGCTGACAAGTCCCACAGTGGCCCCCCGCGGTGACTCAGTCCAAGAAACCAGAAGCCTCAGAAAGACAGACCAATCTGAGGCTGAAGACTCAAAAGCCTCCCTTCCCCAGCGGGTACAAGTCCCGCTTCAGCCGCAGAAATGCACCTGCTCGCGAAGGGACAGCGAGAGCCAGAGAGGGAGTTTCCCCTCCTCTTCCCCTTTCCAGTTCCATTCTGGTCGCAGCCTGCTGGGTGGGTCCTCCAGACGCAGTTGGCTGACCTGCCTGCCAATCTTCTCTGAAACACCCACCCAGACACGCCCACAAGTGTGCTTTACCAGTTCTATAGGCATCCCCCCATCCAGTCAAGGTGACACTCTGTATGAGTGTCACATCACCTGCCTCCCGCTTCCCTGAAGCAGGGGACACCTGACTGGGGCAGCCCTCCGTGGCCCTGGCTCTGAAGCAAGCCTCGGTGAGAAAGGGCCACCAGGGGCCAGCACAGCTGGGGCCATAGCTGGCAGCCTGGCTTCATGCAGGGAGTTAGGGGACCGGCAGGGGGCGCCAGAACAGCCGCTGCACCCCCTACAGCACGCTTCACAGAGTCTCCCTTGGTACAAGTAGTACTTGCTCCCATTTTTTTGTTGGCTTCAACTTCCCTAAGAAATTATTTTAAAAAAAAAAATCGATTTTTTTCTGTACACTAGAAATTTGGGGGACAAATTAGGTGGTGGTGGTGGGGAATCCCCCTACCACGCTTAATCATCAGCAACCACAAGTGTTCACAGTGGCTGAGGAGAGCACTTTTTTTCCAATAGGTTTTTATTTCTAATCCTCATAGCAAATCTATGAGGTTCATTTGCATGTTTTTTTTTTAATATTCAAAGCAAGACTCAAAGAAGCTGTGTGCCTTGCCCGGATACAGTGCTAGTAGTTGGTGGGTAGGATGGGATCTGGATCTTGACCCTGGGTAAGGTGGAGTGACAGGAGGGAGGTGCTCAGGGAGGGTGAACACTGGGGACAGGAGCCCACGAAGCTTTGCTCTGTCCCCTGCCATCCAGGTTTTCCAAAATGAGAGCAGAATAGGGTTCCAAGCGAGGAGGATGGGGTTTTTGAATGGGAGAATGGCGGGAAAGGACAGTGGGGAAGGGAGAAGAGAGGATTGGGGTGTACTAGGCTGGGTGGGTGGGTGGATAAAAGGAGGAACAGGTTTGGGTAAGAAGGAAGGATGCACAGGGTAGAGGAGGAGGGATGGGAAATGGGAAGGAAGGGAGGGAGGGAGGAAGGGAGGAAGGAGGCCGGATGAAGGCCAGATAATGATTAAGAAAGAAGCCAGCAGAGAAGGGGGGGCGGGCATGAAGGCAGGTGTCAGTCAAAGTTCCCCAGAGGACCCCACCACGAGGGCAGCTATAGACTTATGGTGAAGTGGTCCCCAGGAGATCCACGGAGTTCCTGAAAACTTTATATCCATAGCTGCCAGCTCAGACTCACAGGGACAGAGAAAGTAGGAAGTCGAGATGGACTTTGCCATTTCTCCAGGGAGATGCAAACTGATAAAAACTGTTTGGGGGCCGGATACCTGCTGCCCTTAATGAAAAGGACGAGTGACTCAGAGGGCGGCCCCAGGAGCTCAAGGGCAGGGCTAAGAGCCAAGCAGAAGGGCTCCAGGCCTGGGGACCTCATGGAGTTCTTGTGGCTAGAATTCGAAGCCACTTTGGACCCATGACACCATCCTATCTTTCCTGTCCCCCATTTGAACGGGAAAGCCTGGGACTGCATCCTGGGCCTCTCCCATCATTTTGTCCTCAAGTTTCAGCAGCCCATAGAGAGGATCTGTGTGACGCTGATGGATCATACTGAGTCTCATCTGCATCTGGTTTCGATGCTGTCGATGAAATTTGGGGATTTGAATTGATGTTGTGATGAGATGAGAGCCCTGGGGACCTGGGACGGGGTGAATGTGTTATGCATTTAAAAGGGACCTGATTTGGGGAGGCTGGAGGAAAGACCATGGTAGGCTGAATGGCCCTCCAAGGACGTTCTGGCCTCTTCCCCGGGACCTGCAGAAATGTTGGATGTGTGTACTGTGTGGCAAAAGGAATTTTGAGGTTATGGGTCTTGAATGAGTGAGATGATTCTGGATTGTCCAGATGGATCCACTATCATCCCAAAGCCCTYAAAGCAGAGAACTTTCTGCAGCTAAAGGCAGAAGTCACGGGGCAGCAGGGGAAGTCAGAGGGATGTGAAGGGTGAAGAGGGTTCAGTTGTGCCGTTCCTGGTTTGGAGACGGGGGCAAGGTGAGAGGAAAGGCAGGGGCCGTCAGGAGCTGGGAGAGGCCCTCAGCTGACAAGCAGTGAGGGAACAGGGACCTCAGCTGGACAAGCTGAGTGACCCTCAAGTGAACTTGTCCCAAAGTGTCCCTGTGTGAGACCCAGGGCAAAGGTGTGGTCATTTGTTATAACAGCCAACAGGAAACTCATACGTGTGGGCAGGATTCTGAGACCCCAGTGGCATGTAAAGGGCACCCGGGTGGAAGAGACCAYGAGTAAGGGCAGGTCTCCTGAGAGCTCAGCCGGGGTATTTCACCCCTCCACGCCTCGGCGTCCCTTCTGTAGAAAGGGAACGTGAGCCTTCCCTCCAGGGTCAGTGCGAGGCTGTCAGGTGCATGGTGCACGGAGGTGCTTGGCAGGAGCTAGCGCTGTTCCCCCTTCCCAGGGGGCTCTCGGGGCTGGGTGAGGGCAGCGCGGCCCCCCCGGGGTTCTGACCGGTCCTGCTGTTTCTTCCAGTGGAACCAGCCCCGCCCATCCTGGTGTTCACCCAGACCAAGAAGATCCTGAGGGTCAACGCCACCTACCAGCTGCCCCCCTGCATGCCCCTGGTGGACCTGACGTACAAGGTGGAATTCTGGAAGGAGGGCACCACAAACAAGGTGGGCAGTCCCTCCCCCGCCCCCAGGCCAGGTTCCCGCCACCTCCCCAGCCCAGTGTGCCTCAGGCTCCCGCTGCTCCCTGATCCCGGTGCGCCTGACACCCCTGACTCCGGGAGTCGGCCCCTCACTAGTGTAAGTACCCTCGGCCTGTCCACAAGTCCTGCCTCATCTTTTTTTTGACAAACGCTTCCTTTTTCCCCAGTAAAATCTGACTGAAGTGTGATGGGCTGCGAGCTTACTTGTCAGGTCCTTGCAGAGAGTACAGATAAGCTCTAAGAAACAATCCCAAAGAGCCCAGAGGTAAATAACCCTGGATAACATACGTCCACAAGTCCCCCTGGGCGTGGTACGCCCAGCTTCAGACCTGACTTCAGTGCAGCCCGTGAATATGTTTATTTATTTATGGTAAAGGTTGGCGAACTTCCTCTGCACAGGGTCGGGGTCTGTCCMGTGGGGTCTGTCCCAGTGACTGAACCCTGCAGCCAGAGCTCGAACGCAGCCACAGACAAGGCGGAAATGAACAGGCCTCGCTGCATTCCTGCAACTGTTTCCAAAACCAGGTGGCAGGAAAGGTGGCACCCAGCGCCTGGTCTGCTGACCCCTGCTCTGGTTCACTCTTTCTTCCACAAAACCAGAACTCACCCCCGCCCCCCGCCATCCTAGGGATGTAGCTCTGGGTCCAGTGAGATTCCCGGCTTCCAGAAGCTCCCAAGAATGTCGAAACGTCACACACCGCCCACACCTGTACAATTTTTATGAATCGATTTCAAAATTTAAAAGTACCTTGCAAATATTCTAGACCAGCGCTGTTCAAAAGAAATATAATGTGAGCCACAGATGTCATTTTATTTATTTATTTTTTAAAATATTCATTTTTTTAGGTGGACACAGTATCTTTATTTCACATTTATGTGGTGCTGAGGATCGAACCCAGTGCCTTATGCATGCTAAGCGAGCACTCCACCACTGAGCCACAACTCCAGCCCCCACATATGTCATTTTAAATATTCCACATTAATAAAATAAATAAAAGGGATTAAATAAAAGGAAACAAGTGACTATTTTTTGTTTGCTTTGGGTGGTGCTGGGACGGAAGCCAGGCCCTCTTGCGTGCCAGGCCAGTGCTCTACCACGGAGCCGCACCCCCCACCCCCAAAGACTTTGGTTTTACAGACAGATCTTATTTCATCCGATAGAATATTGTCATTTCAACATGGAATTAATATATAAAAATCATAGAGTTGTTTCACCTTTTTTATTCCCTAATTCTTTGGAAGTGGGTGTTTTGTACTTGGGCCAGTTGCCTCAACGGCTTGGTCGCCTTGTGTGGCCACCACCTACTTTACTGGACAGAGCCGCTGGAGACTTTTCTGAGCCTGTAACTGCTGACTGGCCTCACCCCCAAGAGGCTGGGAGGCTCAAGCGAAGAAAGGCCTGAGGAATCTGCTTCTCAAAATGGGGACCCACTGGCCCTGATGGGTACACCCAGGAGTGACCCCAAAGGACARGCTGCTTTGGAACTGCAGACATCCCTAATTTGACACTCAGCCAAAAAGGAACAGTGTTGGGAAGTACACCCCCAGACCTGGCCCTCAGTGTAGGAAAAGAAAAGAAGGTTCGGGATCCGCATCCCAACCCGCTTGCCGATGCTCCCCCAGCCTGACCGTGTGGAACGGGGTCCCCTCAGAAGGTCCACTCATCTCTGTTTCTTTCTCCAAACAGACCGTATATCCAGCCACCCCACATGGCCAGACAGTCCAGGTGCCCCTACCACCAGCCACCAGCGGACGCTACTGTCTCAGCGCCAGAACCCTCTACACCTTCATTTCCCCTAAATACAGCAACTTCTCCACGCCCATCTGCTTCTTCCTGGAGGCCCCCGGTAGGTGCAAAGTGGTGCTGTCCAGGGGACTTTCCTCCGGGGCCTTGAGAGTTTCATGTTGTAGTGGTTAAAAGTCGGAATCTAGAGACAGACTGGCCCAGGTGAAAGTCCCAGCTCTGCCACACTCCCTGTGTGTCCTCGGGCCGCTTACATAACCTCTCTGAGCCTTGGTTTCCACGTCTGTAGCATGGGGTTATTCTCATGAGGACTGAGTGGGAAGATGGACGGGAAGCACATTGATAGGGGAGCGCCATTGCGCGTCTGAGGTAGATGTCATTTTTCCTGCCTAGGACCCATCTGGGCAGTCCTGGTGTTACCGTCACTTCTGCCGCTGCTGCTGGTGGTGGCCTCGGTGGGTATGATCTGGAAGAGTCTTCAGGGAAACCCCTGGTTTCGGCAGTCCAAGATGCCACAGGCCCTGGTATGGCAGATCTGGGGGTGTGTGGCGGGTGGGGAGGGAGGGGGACTGAGAGGCAGGAGGTGGGGCTGGAGTTTGAGTAGCTGGGGGAGGCTGTCGAGGTGGTGGGTGTCTAAGTCTCCGCCATTAGTGATGCATTCCTTGGGCACTGAATAAAATACACATCTGTCCCTGAGGGAGAAGTGACTTTAGCTCCTTTTAGTTAAGCCACTTTACTAAAGAGTTTTTCGGGTGCAGAGAGCTGAGCCCTCAGCCCTGAGACTCTGGAACCGTGGCCAGAAGGGGTGGGGGAGACAGGAGCGCCCAAGGGGGAGACTCCGTGGGCTCTCAGTGCTTCGTCCACAATTTAACCAAGGTCAAGACTTGCCCAGGCCGACATTGGGGTACTAACCACTCCCCAAGGACCTGGCGGCCAGCGGGGACAGGGAGGAGCTGCAGAGGCCAGATGGGGCGCGCTGCTCAGACCAGGGCCTGGCCGTGGGCGAGGCCCAGGAGAAACTCGGGTGGGGTTAGGGACTTTGAGGATGGATTCTCAGTGTCCCCATATCAGCAGGGTGGCAAGGGAGTCTTCAAAGTCCCAACCTTCAGACCTGTGGCAAGTCCTGCTAACCACCAATGCCTTGCCCCACGGCTGGGCCTGCCTGGACCCCAGCCCCTGGCCCCCTGCGGGTTTTCTCGGCCAGCGCACCCCACCCGTCAGGGAACAGGCACCCCCAGCAGCCCTTACGTCCCTCAGTGACGTCCGAGGGGCCCATGGAGAAACACCCAGGTGCCTCCACCCTCGGAGGGGCCGCTCTGGGGTGCACGTGCCCTGGCTCCCTGGGTTCCTGGCAGGATCAAGGTCCAGATGCCGTTTCCTGCCAAMAATGGAACAACTCGAGCCCTGACCCCGTCTGTTTCCAGGGGGCCTCGTGCTGTGGAAAGCCCCAATCGCCTTCTCCTCTCTCCCCCTCCCCGTATCAGGACTTTTCTGGATGCAGACGCTCTGTGCTAACCTTCCAGTCCAGTGGACCCGAGTCCCTAGATGACTTATTCCTCTGTCCCCAAAAGGAACTCATGAGAAAGGTCAGGCCGGCCCCCCAGGTCAGGGCCTCAGACGCTCTGAAGGCAGGGTCAGAAGAGAGACTGACTGAGGACGAAGATGACAGCGTCAGCTTCCAGCCCTACATGGAACACCCCACCTTCCTGGGTCCAGAGCTCCGGGTCTCGGGGCACTCTGAGGCCGATGGGTCCGGCGTGGACTCGGGAAGGCCCTGGACACTTGTGGTCCCTGGAGAAGGCTCCTCTGCTTGGGATTCTTCAGACGGGAGCTGGCCCAGCACCGTGTATTCCTCACCCTGGGACGAGGCTGGGTCCTCCAGCTATTTGGCCAAGAAGCGGCCGGGTCAAGGGCTGAGCGGGGACCAGCATCCGGAGCTTCTCTCACACCCAGAATTCCCTGAGGACTTGGGCTTCCTGGCAGAGCCCCTGCAGGGTGACCTCTTCGTGTGGACCCCCTGGGGCTCCTCCTCCCCAGGGAGGAATCTGCTCCCCGGGGAGCCCCAGGTTTCTCTTCGGACACTGACCTTCTGCTGGGACAGCAGTCCAGACGAGGAGGAGGAAGAGGAACAGCAGGAGGACGAGGAGGGTGAGAGGGAGGCRCAGGTGGAGGGCCAGCTCAGTCCAGGGGACCGGAGCACCGACAGCTCGGGGGCCGAGGGCTGCCAGGGGACCGAGGTCAGGAGTGGGGTGCTGGGGCACTACATGGCCAGGTGAGCRGGCCCTGGTTTCCCCGCCAGCCTCATGCTGCAGCCTCGGCTGCCCCGCTGCCCTGGAACCCGGACCAGAGTCCTGAGAGCCTAGCCTCCCTCCCTGGCTGAAGCAGCAGAGGGTCTCCCAGCACKTCGGGGGTCCCCTCCAGAGGCTGGCTGGCATCTGGGCTGAGTGGTAGGATGCCACCCGTTCCTAGGAGGCACCAGCGTTAGGCCCAGCTGCAGGAGGGATGGAGACAGGGTGGGCGGTGATCGGAGGTCTGTTGGGTGTCAGGTCAGAGCATTGCCCTGGGTGACAGGCAGGGTCAGGTCACTGTGGATGTCAAGGGCTGACACCATCCAGGGATCATCTGGGAGGGAAAGGGATAGTCACACTGGAGGGACATCTGGTGGGCCAGGSTCTCCTGCCTTTCCCAGCCTGGAGCTCCCTCCTCCTGCAAGTCTCAGCCTCCTGATTGGCTGATTGGGGAGTCCCCTAGGGTGGGCCCCTGATCGAGATCCAACTGGCTGAGGGAGCGGCAGGGAGGGAAAGGGAGGCTGTCCTTCAGAGCCTGGTTTTCAGAGTCACACACTGCAGACTTTTTAATCTCAGACCTGGATTCGAATCCCTGCTCTGCTGTTTACCAGTTGGGTGGCTGCGTAAGTCCCCCTCATTATCTACCTCAGATTCTCCAGGGGCAGCCACCACCTAGGGGTGGTGAGGCTCAAGGGGATCTCTGATGTGTGTGGCACGGGGCCTGCCAYATCACGGGTGCTGCCTCCATAGTGGCTGGCAGGCTCCTCCTTCTACACAGGCTCCAAGGAGACCCCAAAAACCCCCCTCAGGTGACCCCACATCCCAGTGACCAGGAGCACCTGCCTTCAAGCCTGTGGCACTTCTGCGCCCCCCCCCCCACTTCCACCCCTGCTGGTCCTGCACGTYCAGGCCAGGGGACTGAGCTCACAGAAGCCAGAGCCCCGCCAAAGGCAGCCCCGGCTGCTCCTCTTCCCAGCAGTGGGAGCCCTGCTTCCCGCAGCAGGAACCCCCGGGACCCGCCTTGCAGGGGCCCCGGGCAGGGCCTGGACTCCAGGACCCATGATCCCTGTTTTGGACGGCACTTGGGATACTGTTGCCTGCTGTGGCTGTAAAGGGGTCCCAGGTTCCTGCTCTACTGGGAGCAGGTGGCTGTCCTTTCCAGGGAGGGGGGTCTTCAATTCCCCTACCCCCACCAGGATGTGGCCAGGCAGAGCTGAGTGGCCACCCCCAGGATGGACATTTTTGAGTGTTTCCAGGCTGAGGATCTGGGCAGCCCAGGCCCTGCCCCTGAACCTGCGAGGACCTCACTGGGAAGGAGGACCCTCCCGGGCAGTGTACCCAGGGAGCGGCGTCGTGCTGGAGCAGCGGAGGGCACAGTGGTGCGCAGGACTCGCAGTCGGCTGCCAACTGAACACTTGTCTCATTTCAGGGAAGCTGAGGTCCCCGAGTGGCAAAGGCACCTGCCCAAGGTCACCCAGTAGCATTTCTTTGGTGACTTACACCATGTACCCCCAAGGGTGAAATCCATGGTCTCTGCCCAGCCAAGCCAACCCTTGACCCCTTGGCCATCTCAACAAGATATAGAGGTCTCTGCCAGAATTTCCAAAGGCCAGTAAGCTGGCAGGAGGCCCTCACCAGCGTCCACACGCACACACACACATGGGCACACACATATCTCCCTGGGAATTTGACCTTCAGTGAGACTTATCCACATGATTGTAACCATGGCTCCGGGAAGGCCATGGCTAAGGGTCAGGTCCTGGAGACCCCCCGACCCAAGACTGAGCTTCTATCTGGGCCTCCATTGAGACGCTTCATGGAGGTAATTTCAGAAAACTCAAGGTTGTCATGGCTACAGTGTTATCTCAGGCTTGAACAAAATACCCTCTTGATTTCTATTCTTCAATCTTGATGTTTTTAAAAGGGGTTTTTTCCCCCCAATGTTGAATTTCTGGGATTTTTCATGACTCTAAATTCCAACTCCTTTCCAGTCATTAACAACAACGACAAAAACTCGGGAGGCGCAGGGGGATCACCTCCGACATGAGGAAAGGGCACACTACGCAGGAAAGTATGTGTGTGTGTGTGTGTGTGTGTGTGTGTGTGTGTGCACGCGCGCGTGAGCGTCTAACAGTTTACAAGGTTCTCTCACCTACACAGCAGCTGCGGGCATCGGGGGAAAGGCGTGTCACCTCAGGTTAAAGTGTTATATCGTTCTTTTGAGTGCTGAGAAGATTATCTATTATCTTGATATATTTATATTTATGTCTAATTTTATTCTTTGTATTGTATTTAAATAATACCCTAATGGTCTGTGACCCCAAAGTGTTTAAATAAAGAGCTGTATTTTTATAGAGAAAAACGTATAATGGAATGGAAATGGGGGCGCTCTACCTTTCCTCACCTCCCAACACTACAGGGGTCTTGGGTTGGGTCACAGAGCAGACCTGAGACCTGGGTACAGAGCAGCACATGATTCCGTGTGACCCCAGGGAAGTGGAGGAGCGAGGTGGGGGAGGGGAGGCTGCCACTCGGGTGTGCAATCACACAGGTCCCTCGGTGGGCACCTGGGGCCCCCCATCCTTGGGGAAGTCGGTGTCAGGCCCCCTTGCCATTCCTTGCTCTGCGGGACAGGAGCTGGGGGATTGGTCACGGGTGCTGCGTGGAGGCTTCCCTGTCCCCCACCCCAGCTGGGCAGAGCAGCGGGGTCTGGCAGTCTGGATTGTCATGCTGCTGAGGAAGGCACATGTCCCAGGGCTGGGTAGGGGTCTCCGACAGCCTCTGCCGCAGTGAGGCYGAAGCTCTGCTCCCCTCCCCCACCCGCAGCTCAGCCAGTGGCAACTGTGGCCCGAGGGAGGACAGGGAACAGCCTCTGTGTGGCCGTGCACACCCACTCATCCCACCTGCTCTCGGTTGGAAAGGGTCCTCCCGCCTCCAGTGACTCTCCCAGAGTCACACTGTCCATGTCCAACATTGTGCCTGCTGTTGTCACCATTCACTGGTGGCAGGGTGGGCGCCAGACCTAAGCTGAGCTGACCCAACAAGTCCCTGGCCCTGGGATTCCGMGTCTTCCTGGCTGGCTGGGCCTGAAACGTCACCTTCCGGCCTGCCATGGCCACCGCTTGCACTCAGGAACCGGGAGGCCCAGTCTGCAGAGGAGACAAGAAGGAGGCCATCACATGAGCTGCCAGCATGATCAGTGGCAGACCGTGGGGCCGGCCTATCCCTGAGGTCCAAGGAGCCTTGGCCGTGGYGCCCCTGCATCCTCATTTTAAGCCAGGGCCTTGTCACCCATAACCAAATGTCCTCACCGAGTCACAAACAGTCAGTAAATGTCCCAACTTGTGGCCAGGTTCAGGTACCTGCCTCCTTGATGGAATGTACTGTGGAGGCTTTCCAGAAAAGCAGGCAGAGCTTCCTCTCCAGGTGACCCCAACCACCTCCCACCTGGTGCCCTCCTCTGCCAAGTCTCCTTTCAGGCATCTCTTGGCCTGAGTGCTGCCACCTTCTGGACAGCGGTGGGATGGCATGAGTGTTCTAAGGCGGTGGTCAGGACCCTGGGCTGGTGGGGGAGAAGCCAAGGTTAAATCCCAGGACCTTCATTAGGGGAGGGATCATTTTCCACCTGACACAACACCTGGCAAAGGGTGGAATCTTGGCATTGGAAACATGAATGAAACAATAAATGAGCAAATGGATGCATGAGTCGGGTCAATAGGCAGCTACACATATGGAATAGAGTCCTGCCTCCCCCAGTATCTGCTCTAAGTGTGCTACAAACCAGGACCTTAGTCCCCTGACTGTGACTTACCCTTCCTAACTTCCTGTTGCCCATGTAATCTAGGACTTGATTATGCTGTTTCAGTGACCGAGTCGTCCATGAGCTCGTTCCTATGGGTACAAAGTGGGGCTAATGTCATGAAGGTTAAAGGTTAAAGTTTAAAAAGAAAAACAAACCATAAATTCTGTCTATATCCGAACGACTGAGTCAGTTCCCTGAGTCAATTACTCAAAAGATACTGGTCGGCGCCAGGACCCACCCAGCCCAAGGGACCCCGCCCCTCGGGCTGCAGTGATGCAGGACAGGGAGGAGGTGATGCAGGACAGGGAGGGGGTGATGCAGGACAGGGAGGGGGTGATGCAGGACAGGGAGGAGCAGTGGCTTCCCAAGAGCCCCTCCTTTCTCTTCCCCCTTACTGCCTCTTTAGGTGGGTTAGGAGGAGAAGGTGGGGGTCCCCAGGAACCCTGTCCCCTGTCCCCAGGGGCAAAGCCATCAGCAGGAGTTCTAGGGGGGTCTCTGGGTATGGGGGCCTCTAAGCCTCCGCGTCTCTGGACACTCGATGGGCCAACTGTAAAGCCAGATTTCAAAAGGGTCTTGGAGCCCCTCCCCGCCTTAGCCACAGACCTTTCATGGACCTTCCTCCTCTAAACAACCCTAACTCCTGAGGGGCTGAGCTGCAGGTGCAGCCGGCACTTGCCATCCCTGGAATTTGGCCTCAGAAACGACGGCCAACCCGAGCGTCTGAGTCAACGTGTGCCACTGTCCTCGTCGCCACCTCCCTCCATCCCCACACCCACACACCCAGGTGACTTGGCAAAGCCTCACTTTGACCTCAGTTTCTCATTTTGTAAACAGAGGCCACCTGCCACAGGAGACCCCTTGATTAACTGCCCAGAGAGGGCAACACAGCAGCACTGAGCAGCGGAGACCATGACTTCCATTTCGTAGACAGGAAAGCTGAGGGCACAGGGTAAGGGACCTGCACACAGGGGACAGTGGCAGAGCCAGGACTTGGACCCAGTCTGTCCGCCCAAAGCTCATTTCCTTCTGCTTCCCCCGGCTCCCAGGAGACGTCCTGAGCTCTCCCCCCAATCCTGGCATGAGACGCAGGATGTGGGTATGTTCTTAATGTATTTGTGATGGAGCGCGTCCTCAGAAGCATCTAATGAGCAGCCGGGAGGCCAAACTGCTCCGGGAGAGCTGAAATTAGAAGCAGCATCAATAAATGCTCAGACGAATTTGTGCTGTCAGTGACAAGAGTCATGAAAGGAATTCTGGGATGTCGAGGAGATTTCCAACCCCAGAGTGGGAGAGAGGCAGAGCTCATTCACCCGAGTTCCCAGGGCCCGTGGAGGACTTCTAGACCACCAGCCTTTACACACAGAGGAACCGAGGCCTACGGAGGAGACAGGACCCCTCCACGGAATCAAACAGAGGGATCATCCCCAGGATCCTAATCTGGGACATCTAGGTCAATGCCCCTGATTGACCCAGCTCATGCTTTGTGGTCAGATGAACTTTGGGTCAGACTCCAAAGTATCTGATTCTCTTAAGAGGCAGGGGGGAGAGAGGAGCCAAACCCTTATTCTTTGCTATCCAGAATGGTTCGGGACCCCTCCAGGATCTCCCCCTGCTGAGTTGGTTGCCTGAAGACAGCGTTCTGCACTCCCCCACAGACTTCAGGTAAACACCGCTGCCTTTTTTTTTGGGGGGGGGGGTGCCGGGAATTGAACTCAGGGCCACTCGACCCCGGAGCCCCATCCCCAGCCCTGTTTTGTATTTTATTTAGAGACAGGGTCTCACTGAGCTGCTTAGGGCTTCACCATGGCTGAGGCTGGTTTTGAACTTGTGAACCTCCCGCCTCGGCCTCCTGAGCCCCTAGCACCACTGCGCCTGGCCAACTGCTGCCTTTTGAGGTTCTAGCTTCTGCATAAAAGCTTCCGGCATCCCTGGGTGTTGAGAGAAGGGACAGGAGCAGGTCACAGATCTGAGTAACTATCACTTCAGGATGTGCGTTTCCTACAGCTCCAGGGTGTTTCGGGTTGTGTTAAAGCCCTGGCCAGCGCCCCCACCCCGGCACACTCAGTCCATCAGCAAACGTGAGGAGAGTCTGCTCCGTGGCCACCCATGCCAGACACTGCCACACCAAGGAGAGCAAGTTAGAAGCCTGGTCCCCACCGCAACAAGGGGACATGGAGGACACAGTGGACAGCACGTGGGATATTCATGCTGCTTCCCACTTGACAATCTTTGGAGAATGTTTACCAGGCCACACATTATATTTCTCCAACATTATTCTGAAGGCTGAATTTGTCTTACTTTGGGTGAACACACCGTTATTCATTCAACCACAACCCTGCTGTTGAACACGGAGGCTGAGCCCACCACCGTGAGAAACCCACCCGGCTGTTCTCAAGTTCCTCAACCATCCAATAACTGTAGACCGTCACCACTACAGGACGGCAGGTGGGCTGCACTTGCACCCCAGGCAGCCAACTTGGTCCAGAGCTGGCTCCTATCTCCAGGGTCCCATCCTGGTCCGTCCAGGCCCACGCAAACCTCTCAAGTCTTTCCAATCAAGGGACTTTACTAAGGAGTTGGTTACCAGCTGATGGGAAAACTGGAGATCCAAGCAGGACCGAGAAGAAGTCAGAAGCTGCTCTCTCCTGCCAGCCACAGGGTGAGATGCTGGGGGCAGCTACCTGAGCTCAAGACCAGCCACCTGAGAGGACCAGGAAGAAGTGGAGCTGCCTGACGAGATGGGCTCCCCAGGGAGAGCCGGTGCCCCAGAGGAGACAAAGCCGAGAAATACCCTGATTTCTCCACTCTTCCAACCTGCGTGGCCCAGTCTATCAGAAAGCAGCTGACAAAGGAGCCTGGGAAATGTAGTTTTCTCCCACAACAGGAAATGATTGGCACAGGCCCTACCTGAAGTCCCCCAAAGCGCAGCTTAGATTTGATTGCTTRTTCAAACAAACTTTAGCAAAGGTTCAGAGCTGACAGCCAACACAGGAAAGAAAACTGAAACAGAGATCCCTGGATATCACTATCCATCGGGCCCAAAAGCCAAGCCCCAGGGCTGGGGTGCAGCTCAAGGGTAGAGCATTACCTGGGCCTGGCTTAGATCCTCAGTTCCACACAAAAAAATAAAACCAAGCCAAGCCCTCCCCGGACCCCCTGCGGGCCAATCTCCYGCTATAGCCCYGACATGTGCAACTGGGCCCAGCAACCCCCCAGGGGCAGGTCCTTGTCTTGCCCCTTCATCCTTCTCTGGGGCCCAGCAAGAAGGGAAAACCCTTTCCCAGGCACCTTCCTCACTAGGAAGTTCTCCTTCTTCTCTGTAGACACTGCTCTTTATGGCAGAACGACAGCTCCAGCTCGGGAGCCATCTCTGTCTTCACTGCCCCAAACCAGAGGCCCATTCCTGCATTTCCCCCTCTGTCCAGCACAGCAGAAAGAACCCCTGGGGTCTGAGATCCGTTTTTCTCTAACATTTTGCAGAGTCCAGCCCCAAAGGATCGTGGTAAGTGGCGGAGCTTCTCGCCCAGCAGCCTTGCCAGGGGGAAAGCCATTCCCAAGGCCCCTGTCCAGCCTGGGGGCAGGATATGGGCACCAAGGACAGGCATTAGACACCCATATCTTCACCTGCCAGAATGAAGCCAAGAAGCCAGGCTTCTCCTTTGCTGCAAGAAACATTCTGGATTTTTTCCTTCTGTTTTGCCCCGTTATTTTCCTCAGGGTAAATCCCCTAGGAATAGAATYGCTGGGGCAAGAGGTACCCACAGGGTGTGAGATTTGATTCGTCGCCAGTTGTTCTCCGATAAGGCTGTCCAYTGTGGGTCATTTTTGCCCTTTCTGCCTCTTAGCTCCCTCATCAACCACTCCGGAGTCTTGGGATGAATCAGCCACCCAGACCAGATAAACAAGCCGGCCCGCCTGGTAGCTGCTCTCTGCCACTAGGAAGGGAACTCCCTTGGATCCCACCCAGGATCTGGAATTCCAGAGCACAGGGCCAGGCACCTTTGTACCCCTGCCCCCACTGGCCCAGGTCCTCCCCTGCCTCCTGACCCCTCCCCTCCCCTGCTTCCCCGCCCTGTGCCGGGTGGAGCCAGCTGCCCGGGCACCCAGGCTTCACAGCCTGCCCTCTGTGCAGGGCCCGGAGTGGGGGCCCAAAGGGGTCCCAAGCAGGGCTGATGAGGACGCTCCTGACCATCCTGGTGGTGGGATCCCTGGCCGGTGAGTGCCCCTGCTCTGGGTGAGGGCTGGCCCACCCCAGGGCCAGTGCGCGGGCTGTCTCCCTGCACCCATCCTGCAGTCCCACCCAGGCTGCTTTCAGTTTCTCCCCTGCTTGGGCTCGACTGGGTGCCGGCTTTTCCCGGAGACGCGGATGGCCGGCTCAGGTGGCTGGGGAGGATGAGAGGGTRCCCCAGCGCCCGGGCTCTCCCAGGGACTCCACTGGCCTGCAGGTCCGGGGGCATGTGGCCAGCTGTCTCAACCTGGGTGCTGGATCCCCTCATCCCAGCGGGTAGGGGACTGGCCTGGGGAGCAGACCTCTTGCCCTCCCTCGGGGTTCCGGCAGAGTTGGCTTCTCTCCCTCTGCTGGCCCAAGACGGGAGGAGGGACACCRTGGCCTCTCTCCATGTCCCTGTGGGGCCTCTTCTGGCCCCTCTGGGCCGGACCTGAAAGAGCATGTCCTCCCAGAGTGGCCAGGTGAGCTGCACTGCTGTCGAGTCCAAGGTCCCAATGGGATWCGTCATCGTGGAGAACTGCACCTGAGACCCCAGGTTGTCTGCTCTCCTGAGCTGAATGTCGGGGATCTCAGTCCTGATGGAAGAGAGGGACATGTGACCTCTGCAGGCCCTCCTGGCTTCAGTGCAGGATGAGACCCGTGAAGGGACAGTCCCTGGCCGGCGCTRACTGGATCCTTTGCTGCCTCCAGTCTGTGCTGCCCTGGCCTCAGCGGGGCATTCTCCACACTCTGRGTCTCTGATGGACGAGGGAGACTTCCTGCAGCCTCAGAGGCTCCAAAACATGTCCCTCAGGCCCCCTCCCATTCTGGCTGGAAGTCCTAGAGCTCCTGGCCCTTTAAGATGGGGACCCACAGGAAACAGCCCTGAGTAGATGGTGAAGGGTCAGTAGCATCCTCTGCAGACCTGGCCCCTCGCCCTGGTGCACTTAGCTGGTTCCTGAGCATGTGGGATCGTTGTTTGTGTTGTTCCTTGGCTTCCCCACCGGTTGACATATGGTTTTTCCACACAAATGTGAAAACTTGCCTTTTGTAAAGTCGGCCAGACAGTCGCTCCACACAGCATATGTCTCCGGGCGTTCAGAATGTCCACTTCCAACCAGGAAGTGCAGAAATGACACCAGCCGGGGAGGGCATGATGGATTTGGGGATGAAAAGGAGCGAGAGGTTGGGAGGAGAGGGAAGGCCTCATTAGTCCCTGGTACCACTTCAGGAAGCCAGCTTCAGTTTCCGCTGGGCACAGTGACCCCCACCTGTAATCCCAGTGACTCAGGAGGCTAAGTCGGGAGGATCACAAGTTTTCAAGGCCAGCCTCAGCAATTCAGCAAGGCTCTAAGTGACTTAGCGAGATCCTGTCTCAAAAACAAAATAAGTAAAAAGAGCTGGAGATGGAGTTCAGTGGTAAAGCACCCTGGGTTCAATTCCCAGCACACACACATCAAAAAGTGGTGGCCATCCCCACTCCACCCAGGACCCTTTTCCAGCCTCAGCCACCGGCCTCCCTAGCACAGGGAGCCTGCACAGGACACTGTCCCCAAMCAGCAAGCTTTCCCGTGCAGATTCTAACCCAGCACTGGGGGAGGCCAAGCCCACCCCAGACTGACTGTGGCCCCCTCTCCAATCTCAGCCTCTCTCTCCTGCCCTTRACCCCACCAGTGGCCACTGGACTCCCTTCCATGACTTTAGACCGAGCCCTGAATCCAAGACCCCTCCCTCCAGACCCCATTTCTGCCCAGACTGGGATCCAAGCCCAGGACACGAGCCACATCTGGGGCTCAGCGGCGTAGCCGTCACCTTGGGTGGGGGCAATAAGACCCCCTGTGCTACCCCTAAAGCCCCATTCTGGGGACCCTGGTAAGCTCCCAAAGATGTCCACAGCTGCTGGGCCAGGGAGAMCCAGATTCAGAGAGGGTGGTGGCCTTCCATGTAGGCAGGGGATGTGCCCCAGGGTGGGACTGCCCTCATACGCTTCCCACCTCCCCAAGGACCTCCCAACCCTGGACTCCTCTTGCAGAAATACTGTTTATAACTTGGGAATAAAGAACTATCCACCCCTTCGTGCCCTGGGCCTGCTGGTGGCCATGGTCATGTCCAGAGGAAGGGAGGGGCATGGCCATCAAAGAGGCCTTGGCACAGCTGGGTTTGCACCTGGGTATTTCCCACCCCGCCAGACAGGTCCTTCTGAGCATGCTCAGAGCCAGCATCCAACTCTGGACACTTTCTTGTCCTTCTTCCCCTGCACAGGCTGCGGGGGCCAGGGGGCGGGGCRCGTTCTGCAAGTCAAGGGCTCTTCATTTCCGGTGAAGATGCCGAGGCAGCAGCCCCTCCCCAGCCCTCTTCTAGGGGCCCAGGCCTCGGCTCTTCTTTCCATGTCCTGAGCGGCAGTTGACGGGCTGGGAGACCAGAGTTCACAGACGGCCCCTCCACCCTGGGTGAGGGAACGCCTTTGGGCGAGCTTTCTGGGGCACTTTAGCTGGCGCTCTCTATGATCAGTGAAGACACCCGCCTCGGGTGGCATTAAAAAGTGAGCAGTTGGCCCCGTGGAGCACACCTGTAATCCCAGCCACTCGGGAGGCTGAGGCAGGAGGATCGTGAGTTCACAGCCAGCGCTTAGCAACCTGTGTCTAATAAAATACAAAAAGGGGCTGGGAATGTGGCTCAGTGGTTAAGCACCCCTGAGTTCAGTTCCTGGTACCAAAAAACAAAGTGAGCAAGCAAGAGACAGCAAGAAGTGGGACTGGGGTAAGAAACGGGACCCCTCGGGTGCTGCTGGGGGTAGGAAGGGGCAGCCACTTTGGCAAACAGTTTGGCSATTCTTCAGAAAGTTAAATGTAAGGGTGGGGGCTGTAGCTCAGTGATAGAGCACTGGCCTGGCCTGAGCCCCTGGGTTCCATACCAAGCCTAGAGTGACCCAGCAATCCCACCCTAAATATCCCCCACGGCGACCGCAAACATATCCACTTAAATTTATCTGCACAAATGTTCGCAGCAGCATTACTCAAAATCGCCCCAAACTGGAAATAATTCAGATGCCAATGAACTGATGAATGGATACACAAAACTTGGTCTGTCCTTACCATGGACTATTACACAGCCATTAAGAGAAAATAAGAGCTGCTTTGTGCTTCAATATGGAACGAACTTGAAAACATTATGCTGAGTGGAAAAGCCAGATGCAAAGAGAAGGCAAGACTGTAATGAAAAGTCCAAAACAGGCAAATCCATAGGGACAGAAAATAGGTCTGTGTTTGTCAGGGACTGGGGGATAGAGGGACGGGGACTGGCCACTATGGGGGTGACGGAAGTGTTCTGGAATCAGGTAGTAGTGATGGTTGCACAGCGTGTGAGACTTCCCAGTAGTCACTGGGTGAATTATAGCTCAGTGGGAAGGAAGAGGGTGGCTGAGCGCAGAGGCGGTGGGGTAACCGGCTGYTGCGTGGAGGGCTGGGGGTCCACCTGCTTACCCTGCTCCCACCTCCCGCAGCTCACGTTGCTGAGGATGCCTCTGATCTTCTTCAACACGTGAAATTCCAGTCCAACAACTTTGAAAACATCCTGACGTGGGACGGCGGGACAGACAGCACCCTCGGCACCGTCTACAGCGTGGAATATAAGAAGTAGGCTCCCTGCCCACACCCACCTCCTGTGACCCTGCAGCGATCCCTCCCAGAATGTCCCCCACTCTACACGTCCCTGGGCCCCCACTGGGCTGCTGCCCCCAGCCCCTTTTGCATCCTTCTGCAGAGGGAAGGTTCAATCAGGACTGATACCACAGGGCTGGMGGCAGCCGKGCAGCCGGGCAGGGCCATCTCCCACCTGGGCGACCTCGGTCCCCTGGGGAACCCCACCAGGCCTCAGTTCCCCATCTGTAGAGGGAGGACAGCGAGAGTYCCTTCCTCGTAAGGTTGTCAGGTAGATTAGGTCAGACGAAGTCATGGGGACCCGCGCCTGGCGTCATGAGGTCCTGGAGATTGTTCTTTGACTATGGGCAAAACAAGGTCACCCCACTCYAGCCTGTGCCCCCCGTTAGCTCTTCTCTCCACCCAGGCAGGGGAGGAGGGTTGGCATGGGCTCCAGGTCCACAAACCTGGGGTCCATTTCTGGTCCTGCCACTTCTTCCTGTGGCCCGTCACCTCCCCTCTGAACCTCAGATCCCTTGTCTGTCAAATGGGGATAACAGGCTTCGCCCACCGGGTCTGGGGTAGCAAGAGGAGAACGTAGACTAGACTGGCTGGGTTCAAGTCCAGGCCGTCACGGGCACCGCGGGGTGCATTTTACCCCTTTGAACCTCGGCTTCCTTGTGTACACAGCCCAGGGGGGGTCACCATGAGAACCAAGAGCACCCACATAAAGGGCCCGAGACACAGAACACGCTGTGTAAATAGGAGATACCGCTATCATTATTAAAACRCCAAGGCCTGGCACCCAGGCCTCATTAACGGTGTGCCCGGCCCCTCCCTCCTGCCCAGGTACGGGGACATCGCGTGGCTGCCAAAGGCAGGCTGCCAGGGGATCACACGGAAATCCTGCAACCTGACCATGGAGACGGGCAACCACACTGAGTTCTACTATGCCAGGGTTACGGCCATCAGCCCTGGAGGCCGGTCGGCCACCAAGATGACCGACCGGTTCAGCTCTCTGCCACACAGTGAGTGGGAGTCCCTGCTCGGGCCAGGGGCAGCGAAGCACGTGGGAGGCCCCTTCCCTCTGAGTGGACAGAGGGCCAGGAGGGGTCTGCACCAGGGCCAGTCAGGGAAGGTGCCCCCCACCAAAGCACATCCCCCAGGGGGCCTGTTCCTTTCCCTCCACCCCCCACAGCCCCCTAGTTCCCACCACCCTCCTCTGCAGCCRGGGAAGCCGACTTTCCTGCCCCCGCCTCATCCTCAGGGTCCTCCCAGACCCTGGTCAACACACGAATCCCACCTTCCCCTTCCCACCTTCACCTGCTGAAAACTCTCCAGCATCTTCTCACGATTCTTAAAATAAGACCCAGCCCTTTGCTGTGAGCTCCGAGGCACTGTCCATCCCAGCAGCTCTGTCTGCTGATCCAGTCTGGCCTCTGGAAACCCCAGCCCCAGGGCCTTTGCTGCCCCCACCCCCCCTGCCTGGAGGCTCCTCTCCTGGCTCCTCACTCATTGGTGGCTCTTCCCAGTCCTTACTGGGGCTCATTCAGCCCTAAGTGAGCGTCCCCACCCCTAGCCCTGACTACTTGATCTCAGCGGGTGGCCACCTGATACCCTCCCTCCCAACCCAATCTGTCCTCAGGGCCTGCAGGCCCCTTATCCACAGATCAGACCAAATGCAGGTGAAAAATATTTGGAACAAAACTTCATCTGTACTTGAATGAGTACTCGCTTTTTTCTTGTCATTGTTCCCCAACACAATAAATTTATTCCTAGAAGGGAATGCATGTGGTGTCCCAGCRTCGATCCCCGTGGACACGGGGGACCCCTGTCCACTGTGCTTTGTCCTCATAGCTCATATGACAGTGGGCAGCTATCATGTTTGCTTACACGTACAGCATCAGCCTCGCTCATTAACATGTGAGTTCCAAAAAACGGCCTCAGTGGGCTCCGGGATCCTCTGTGTTCCCAGACCTTAGCAAGAGCTCAGCAGGGAGAAGAGGCTCCACCCAGGAGGGTCCAGTCAATGAATGTGCACCAGCTGCCCGACTCCCACACGTTCCCCAGCTCGCCTTACAGCCACACGTGACTTTTTAAGAAAACAAAAAAATAAAATTAAGTCAGTTACTGATTTTCTTCCTGGCTTGTTCACTTCCAGAAATATAGAAATATGCAAAATATAGAAAAGTCCGTGTTAATGTACTGAAAATCTGGAAAACACAGAAATACTCAAAGAAAAAGAAAAATCACCCACCCCCACCCCCACCCCCGATCATTCCAACAAGCCATCACTAGCACCTGGGTCTATTTTTTTTTTTTTTTTGAATCTGGCATTGTTTTCTTGTTTTTGAGCTGCTTCTCCCTCTGTATGATGGTATCATAAACTTTTGCCCACATTATTAAACGTGTTTCCACAATGTGATATTTCATAGCTGCAAAGGGCCCCTTCTTGGGAGGCACTCTAATGTATTTATCTAATTCCCTTTATGAGGATATTCTGCTCGGTTTTTCAATTTTACAAACAAGCGTCCACATGAGCATCCTTCTTCTGCCTCGCACGGACACTAATGCCAATTCAAATGTTCTGAATTTCAGAGGTCAAGGGACCCATGAGAGATTTCTATGAGCTAGATTCAGGGTGAGTAGGGTGCATGAATCCCTGAAATCTTGCATGAATGCAAGATTTTTGTCTAGGTACATTTTGGGGGGAGAGAAGATTCATATTCTCCAAGGGTCTGAATTCATTTAGTTTACTTGGAAAATTCCATCTTGAGAGAGACTGAAGTCTTTGGACCTGGCCTYGGCACTAAATGGGTGGCCTCGGCACCCCCTGGTGTTATTTAGGACATGTGGCTAATCACCATGTGGACATACCCAGAGCTGTCACTGCCTACAGACCTGGGGTCCTGTGTCCCAGGAAGACTCGAGGTGGGGGTGAGGAGCTGGGACACCTGGGAGCAGGGATCAGGCTTGTCCCACCCCAGGGACTGTGACCCTCACCCTGGGTTCCTCCCGTCCACCTGGCCATCCCTTGGCCAGCCCTACACCTGGCTGCCAGGCGAGTGCAGGAGTGCTTTCCACCCAGGTTTAGCTGATGAATTTGGAAACATCCTGGGCTCCGAGTGGGGTGGGTGGGAGAAGCAGTCACTTCCCACCGTCYGTATTGCCATATGGACACTAATGCCGATTCTGACTTTTTCTTCTTTTTTCTCCCCAGCTACCATCAAACCACCTGATGTGACCTGTATCCCCAAAGTGAGATCCATTCAGATGATTATCCATCCCACCCCCACGCCCATCCGTGCAGGAGATGGCCACCAGCAAACCCTGGAGGAGATGTTCCCAGACCTGTTCTACCGTGTGGAGCTCCACATCAACCACACCTACAAAATGGTAAGCATAGGTTGCACCCTGGTCCTTCCCCACCTGGGAAATGCCTTCCTTCTCGGTGACATCTGTGCTGCTCCAAACAGAAAGAGAATATGTTGTATCAATAGAATTCCCCAAACATGTCCCTGGTGGGGTGAAGGGAGGCCTCGAATCCTGAGCACAACCTCCCTCTGGTAGACTCACGTACACAGGAGCATGTTGAAGGCTCTGACAAGTCCTGCAGAGGCAGAGATTCCCGTTTCTATTTGTTTAATTCACCTTTTCTCAGATTTATTTGACCGCAGAACTTGTTTTTGTGCCGGATGTGGTGGCACGTGCCTGCAATCCCAGTGGCTCAGGAGGCTGAGGCAGGAGGATCATGAGTTCAAAGACAGCCTCAGCAACAGCGAGGCGCTAAGCAACTCAGTGAGACCCTGTCTTTAAATAAACTATAAAATAGGGCTGGGGATGTGGCTCAGGGGTCGAGTCCCCTGAGTTCAATTCCTGGTGCTCCCCCACCAAAAAAAAATTTTTGATTTTGCATAATTTAGATTTTGTTTGATGTCTAATAGTTTGTAACGTCCTGGAGAACAGCCAATTAACATCCTCAGGTGTTAACTTTAAAAAATGCCGGAGTCAGTTTCTRCTGCTGTATTTCCTTAAACTGGTTCTCCACTCCATACAATTTCAGGAACYATATTCAGGGAGTGTCCTAAGATCAGTAATAATGAAATGTGTCAGGCAAGTGCGTAAACTGCCAAATGGTATATGCAAATTATTTCCTTTTTTTTTCTTTTTCTTGGAAAAGATGTGGTATTTCCCCCCAGCATGTGCCATGAACCCACCATCCAGGTGAATGAGTGTTCATTTCCTACTCTAATTCTCAYAATCAAGAGGCTTATACTCTAGCGAGTCGGGAAGAAGTTGAAATAATTCCAACAGCGACAGRTAGAGGAAAACAAGGATATTGCAAGGCGGATCTAAAAGACTTCCAGAAAAACTTGCGTTCGTCAGTGCGGGTTTCTGGGGTATCCCGGGTCATAGATACCTATTAGGTCATTGAATCCTGAACAGCTCTGTGAGGCAGAAGCCACTSTCTCCATTTTCCAGATGAGAAAACAGAGGCTCCGAGAGGTTCAGTCGCTTGCTCCAGATTGTTCGGCGAGTAAAAGCATAGCCAGGATTCAGATCCAGTTCAGTGCTAAGTCCATGGGCGGACACTGCCCCACCATGATTAGAAAGAGAAGTAAAAAGGGGGCATTTTGGAAAAGCAGAAAACTGCCCACTTTGACTGGAGTAGTTTCTCAAAAGACGGTCCCAGACAGGTGGCATCAGAGTCACCTGTGGCCCGTCAGAGTGCAGGTCCCTGGGCCCCCTCTGTCCACTGCATCAAATGCTTGCAGTTATTTCCGCCCTGGATCTAAACTGCGGAGAACAATACGGCTGCTTCTCCCTCACCTTGCAGCTGGAGAGCCCTGAGGTGGGGGCACGGGGAAGCCTGCGGGGACCTTGCAGGAGAGATGGAGGTGGCGGGTGGAGGGATCTTGGTTCCTATCCATCGTCAAGGAGAGCAGCGAGAGCTTACAGAACAGGCAGAGTCTTTATCACAGCTATTTTGGGTAAATATTTGATGTTTGACCAAATATTTTATCATTATTGATTTCTAATTTAATTCATTTYATGGTCACAGAACATCCCCGGCCTGATCTGGGCCCTTGTAGGTTTACTGAGATGGGTTTTATGGCGCAGCATATGGCCTGCCTATGCGAATGTTCCGGGTGTACCCTGGAAAGGAACCTGTGTTGGCAGTGTTGGGTGGCGTGCTCTATGGATGTGGATTAGGGGAAGGCGGCTGACGGTGTTATTCAGGGCCTCTGTCTTTCCCGGTTTTGGGGGGGGATCTGTTTTTTTCTTTTAGTTGTGCCGTGTTCAGCTCTCAACTGTTCACCTGGGCTGGTGGTGGGCTTGTCTATTCTCCCTTGTTACAGCTTCCGGATAAAYTGGCCATTTTATGATTTGATGTGTCTCTTTCATCTCTAGTAATACTCTGAACTCTAATTTACCTGATTTTATCATAGCTCCTCCCAGCTCCTCACATCCACTTATTTATTTGTTTGTTTGGGAACCGGAAATTGAACCCAGAGATGCTGAACCCCTGAGCCGCATCCCCAGTTCCTTTTTATTTCAAGACGGGGGTCTCACKAAGTGGCTTAGGGCCTCTCTAAATTGCTCAGGCTGGCTTTGAACTCTTGAACGATCCTCCTGCCTCAGCCTCCCGAGTCCCTAGGATTACCAGGCGTGTGCCACCACGGCTGGCTTCAGGGACCTATCTTCAAGTTCTCGATTTCTTTTGGCATTTCCAATCTGTTGCTAAGATCATT